GTCAACCTAAAGACATGTGAGGGCATGTGTGTGAGGTTCCTGTTATTGGCATAACACATTATCACAACCTTTGGTTGAAAACAATACACGTGTATTATCTTATTGTACTGGAGATCAGAAGTCTGAAACAGGTCAGCAGGGCAGCCTTCCTTCTGGATGCTGCACAGGGTGTAGCTGTTTCTTTTCCCTTTTCCGCCTCTTAGCAGTCATCCACATTCCTTAGCTTATAGCCCCCTACTCCATCTTTAAAGCCAGCAGCATTACATCTTCAAATCTCTCTCTGACTCTGACCTCCACTTTTGCTTTGCTTTTCTACTTTAAAGGACTCCTGTGATTATGTTGAACTGTCCCGAATAATCCAGGATAATCTCTTTATTTTAAATACATCTTATTTGCACTCTTAATTCCCTCTTGCTGTAGTCACAGCAAGGTTCAAGGGATTAGGATGAGGCCATCTTTAGGGGGCCTTTTTGCTGCCTATCACAGCATACCTGGTTAAAAAAATTATAGGCTACATTAGACAGTGTCCTACTTGTCCTGTTTGGCCCTTGACATTACTGATCACTTCTTTTTTCTGGACTCCTGTGACGTTCATGGGATCACTCCTGCTTTTCCTCCTTCCATTTAGATAGTATTTTCCATGTAATCTTCTTGGGCTGCTCCTTCTGTGTGTGTGCACCCTATGGTTCTTCCCTTCGCCATTGTTTTCCTGAGCAGTCCCATGTGTAGCCAGAGCTTTATTTTACCATCTATATGCTGATGACTCTAAAATGCTCTCTTTAACCCAGACCTTACTGGCAAACTTAAAGCCTATGTATGTAGCTTTCTGTGGGTATTCTAAAAAACCCCACAAATTCAGCATATTAATGCTACGCATCTTCTTAGTCCTAAAGCTTCCTTCTGAAAATTCTCTTTGTAATTCGCATGGTCATCTACCAAGTAGTACCTAAAATAGAAACCTGGGAGTCACCATAGCATACTTTTATTTGGGCTCTTATTCTTGATATTCCACCTTTTTTTATTGGCTGTTTTTTAATCCCAGCCCCATTGCTGCTGTCTAGACCCCTTATTTTTTGGATTTTACTTTCTTAGCCTGCTAGTGGATGTCCACGCTTCACTCTTAGGCCCTTCCTCTCTTCTTCCCTTTTTCTCACCCTCTCTACCCCCTCACCTCCCCTCTTTCCCTCCCTCCTTCTCTATTTCGTAAATAAATCATTTGGAGGAGGGTTATAGAAATAACTCAGAAGTAGCATCAATGTATTGTAAAGCATTAAGGAGTGTACCAAAAATGATATGCTTTACAACTGTAATTTCCCTGTTCAAGAATATGGTTAATATTTAATTTATTTATATGACTTTTTGTGGACATTTCAATATAATTGGGTCATCTATCTCTGTATATATAATTTTTTACTCTTTTTTTCTCACTTATGATTTTAAATAGCTATAATAATAGTACCATCTGATCGGATTGTTGTGAGGTTTAAATTAGTTAATGCATGGAAGTGGCTTGTCTTTGGTGTCAGCAGCAGTATTGTTCACTGCTTCTTATGGTAAGAATTAACTCTTTAGTTAGATAAATAGACCCTTCATGGTCTGATTCTCATCTTTTTGTACTGTCTCATTTTTCAATGTTCTCAATCACAAACCCACAGTTTAGCCAAACTAAACAACTTATTCTCCAGATGTGAGATGTTCTCTTATGTCTCCAAACATATGAGAACAAACTCTTCTGTCACTAAACTTTAAAGGGAACTTATTACATGGATTATCATATTGGAAATATTGGATGACATTGCAGTTTCTATCTTTAAAAGCAGTTTCATAGAAAATGCAGAAGTTTTCTTGTCAGCATTGCTTACATTCATCTTAAGTAAAGACCGAGGGCATAATATTGTAATATTGTGATTCTCTGACTGAAGTAGCCCATGTATGTAGCTTTCTTGTTATTTGAGTTGACATTGAGGTTTGAGAATACAGATTTGTGATGGAGTAGTATATTCCCTAAGGGTCTCATAAACCCTTCTCAAAAATGTTCATGGACAGAATTCAGGAGGGCAGGAAAATGACCGGTCTGTGGATTTGGATGGAAACAATTATATCTTGTTTCACTAACCACTAGGTGAACTTTAACATTTTCTTCAGTTATGACTGGTGATGACAGACCATGGTCATATCAGCAGCATAGTGACTTTGTTACTAATAGAAGGCACAGATTGTTTTATATTGCAATACAGTTGTTGCTCAGCAGTTGATGCTCATCTTAAGTAATCGGCAGTCGTGAGGCTCATCTCGTACGTGGCGAGGAGTCACAGCCTCCCCGTGTACAGATGGATGCTGACGCGGTGCAGCGGGCCGGATTAAAGGACGGCCCTGCACCTGGTAGTTGTTCATTCGTCAAAGTGAGGCTCTGTGCTCTTCATGTCTACGTTGCTTCCCAGTATTCCCCAAGTGCAGAATTCTCCGTTAATGTCTTTGAAAGATCAACCTTTAAGCACCTGGCAACACTTTAGAACTCCTTCAAAAGAGTTACTGAATTTACTTCTGTCTTTGTAGCATTAAGCTTGAACCGTGGACTCACAGTATTTTTCTTTCCAGTGCAAATTGTATTGAATGTGTTGACCAAGCCAAAGATGAGTTCATTGACTTTAGGACAATAAACTCACCACACTAGATTTTGATTTTTAAAAGCCTTGGAAAATTCTGGTGTTTGTTGAGAGAAGCCTATCACTACCTTGTAAAATGACCTGTGAATGCTTTCATTACATTTGTAGTAGCAGTATATTTTGTATTTGTGAAGCAGGGTTTCTATAACTTATAAATATTTTTAAAAATTTGATGTCCAACCTGACATGTGTGATACCTTGTTGAAGACCACCCCATAGTTCAACTTGCACTATGCTATGGCCTTTAAAACAATAACTTTATCTATATATATATATATTTTTTTTTTCTTTTGAGTTGAAGTCTCACTCTGTCGCCCAGACTGGAGTGCAGTGGCTGCTCCTGGCCACCGCAGCCTCGACCTGCTGGGCTCCGGCGATCCTTCCGCCTCAGCCTTCCAAGTAGCCGGAATTACAGGCATGTGCTACCACGCCCGGCTGATTTTTTGATTTTATTGTATAGATGAATCTCGCTGCCCAGGCGGGTCTCGAACCCGCGGGCTCAGGCAATCCACCCACCTCAGCCTCCCAAGGCGTGGGATTACAGGCTGAGCCACCGAGCCTGGCCAACTTTATCCATATTTTAAATGTACTGTCTTACATTTAATGGATTGATAATCAAACTTAAAATATTGTGATAGCCATATTTCAGTAAAATGTACTTTTCTTGTAGTCATTTAATTTTGCCTTTCAGAGTGGTCACTGTCTACTGAAACATATTTCTCTGACATAATAAAAAAAGCCACTATTTATTAACATTTGATTATAACTGAGTTTTGCTTTTAAAGGCTCTTTGCGAAAATGTTATGACTTTTATATTCCTGCAAATTTCCTAAAACAATGAGCTCTTATGATGTTTATTTAAAAATAATAACTTTTGTCCTATCATAAAAGTTAATGTTAATCTCTTGGCATTACAGAATGCATTCTTGTGTTGAGTATTGTTGCAGATGCTATGGAACTAAAAAGAAATATAATTAATCTAACAAACGTACAAAATACCCATATATGCTGGACTGGCCTGGCACTGCTAAGATAAGAATTTTATTAAGATGAAAAATACAGCTAAAGAAGTGTAGGGTAGTTGGAGAATCAGGGAATACATATGTTATAATGAGTAGCATATAAAATTAAACTTATATTACCTTATATTCTTAGAAGTTGATGCATCAATAACTTATAGAAATAAATTTTACATTTATTATGAGAATATATACTTTTAGCCAATTAATTTCAATTTTATGTATATCTCCTAAGCAGTATGTTTTTCAAATTCTGGCAGCTACATACATTTTAAAATTTATCTTTCCTTTAAACACTGAAGAATAAAAAAAATAGAATCTCTGTGAGACAATTGCTTTTTGTGCTTAGAATGTACAGACAATATTTAAATTAGTTCTGACAGAAGAGGCTCTAAAAATGTAGAATGCTATATACTATTGAATTTAAATAATCTCTCCGTGCTTGTCATTTTACACGGATAGTATCATAAGACAAGTAATGACAGATTAAGACCTGCCTAGCAGAGGGAAAAACTAAATTACACGACTTTTATTAAGGCATAAATAAACCTATTAACCATTATCTCGAATACCAATTAGTAGAAAGAGCACTGACAATTTTATTTATCAACATTAAACATAATTATTAATTACAGACCTGATGAATCTAGCAGTAAGCAGGCCATGTTGGATATGCTGGGACCTTAAGTCCATTATGTGAGAGGGATGATTACCAAAATCCTGTGGGGAGATAAGTAATTGTAGTTGTAAAATTTTAATTGCCTTGGAATAAGGCAAATTATATTTTCTTGTCTGAGAATATAAATAGTATGGCATTAAGGTAACAGGCTTTGGTAGTTGTAAGTAGAAAATGGACTTATGTTAGATTTTAAAACAAAGAAGAATGATGAATTTTTAGTGTCATAGTGTTCTGTGTGGATTGCGTACTGTGAATACATGCAGATTTTCTTTAGATATACTGTTTAGTAGGTGAACTCTTTTCTATGTTCTTTTTTCATAATGAAAATAAGTATGGGAAATTTTTTTTTTTTAGATTGAAAAATCTAGTTTATTTAGAAAGTAAATTGGAGGGAGAGGAGATTCACCTCCCCAAGGTAGGAGAGGGGGCCAAAGTTAGGAAACATAGTGGCCATAGCTCAAAGAGCTGTGTGGACACACCAGAGTTTAACAAAGCAATGGCCGGGAAATGTTTTTAATGTGTTTGAGTGTATTATTGCAGGTGGAATGAAAATTACAAAGTGAAAAAGAGATTTTTATCATGTTGTGAAAAGAACAAGAGACATTTTATTGTGCCTTTTTTTCTTTTTCTTTGAAGACCCAAATTCCAGAATTTGTGGACATTTACTCATAGGTGCCGCCAAGAATTCTTTTGCAAAACTCATGGATAAAATTAGTCTGGCAATGGAGTGTGTACCTCTGCACAGCAGTAGGAGTATTACATATGTAGAAAAAGATTCCCTGGTTCAGAGGCTGGCCCGTGGACTTCATAAAGTAAACACACTGGCCCTGAAATACGGTTTACGTGGCCATGTACCAATTATGGTATGTATACAGTTTTATTTAATCGTGATCCTAGGACTTGTAGACTTAAATTTGAATCAGCTTGATTTGTAGTTTACGTTTATTGTACATGAATGTATCTGGATTTTCTTTAGAGTTCATGTAAACTTTTAATACATAAATTTACTTCTGAATTAGTGTCCAAAATATTAAAATACAAATGCCATGGCATTACTTCTAAATTTGGTGTTCTCTATAAGTGCACTTGTAACAGAATTATATGAGACGTAAACATCTCTCAATTCTATTTTCACGCTATGCAGATTACTTCTTTGGGTATTCATTTTATATAAGCCAAATGATTGGTCACATAAAAAAATGAAGCTTCCATCTCTAAGTTTTAGTAACAGCTGGTATTGTTTTTTTGTGTAATCTAAGCTACATTTGATTTAGTAAAATGGTCATTGCTTGTGATCTATTAGTAAATCTAAAGTTGCTGCTTGTAAAGTTGCTCTTGTCTAATAACAGAAAAGCACGGCATCATTACAGAAGCAAATATTTGGATTTACACAAAGGCTGCATGCAGCAGAAGTGGAACGCCGCTCACTACGCTTAGAGGTCACAGAATTCAAACGAAATGTGAATGAAATGAAAAAGGAGCTTGACAAAACCCAGGGTCTCCAAATGCAATTAAATGAATTTAAGCAGTCTGTAAGTACATATGGTGTAGAATACGATCGCTTTGAGGATATCTGTCTTTTTTTCCACCTCTATATCTTTTTTCTTTAACTTTTATTACGTTTGGTTTTTCAAATCATTCCAAGTCCCATGAATAGGATTTCTTTTTCTTTCGAACACTTCCCTTCTAAAATGCCTCCAGTTGCCTGATGTTGGGAGGGGTTCCTCTCTTCTCCTTTTATATTGAGCATTTTGAGTAAATTACATTATTTATTATGAAATGAAGTTGCTTTTCTAAAGAAATATTCAATTTGTCTAACTTCCATCGAGGATTTATGCATATTATTAAAAAAAAGCAGAAGATAGCTGAAAAAGAAAGGCTATATACCAAATGCCATTAGGTCAAAGCAAAGTGTTCACATGTATGAAGCACAATAAAATGCAGACATCCATATACTCTGCAGTTGGGTTAATTTTTACTTAGCTAGTTTGAGCGTGTTAAGAGATTGCTCTGAAACTTCAAAATTATATACCATTTATAACAGCCTACATAAATTTGTTTTTTAAATCTAGCAACAAGCTACTTTTAGTACCCCCTTCTTTGGGAAGCCCATGTTTTGCAAGCTTACCTTCCTTTTTTTTTTTTTTTACTTTAAAAAAATTTTTATTGTAAAGATGTGGGGTACAATTCAGGGTTAGGTATACAAACATTGATCATGCAGGTACCCCTGTTAATGAAGTATGTCCCTCCCTCCCCTGGCAGTTTCCCTCAAGTGCCAATTCACCCCCCAACAGTTTCCCATTACTGCCAATTACTTTCTTATAGCATTATAATTGTTCAAGATCATCTTATGAGCGACAACATATGGAACTCTGTTCTTTGTTTCTGTGATAAATCACTGAGCATGATAGACTCCAGATCCATCCAGGTTACTGCAAAGTCCATATATTTGTCGTTCTTTATCATCCACTTGTTTTCTTTCTTTTTTTTTATAATCGATATTTTTTATTTTGATATTGTGGGGTACAGTCAAGGGTTAGGTATACAAATATGTTTCATTCAGGCCCTCTTGTTGATAATTGGTGTCTCCCCGTCTCCAGACAGATGTTTACTACCATTCTCACTCATATAGTGGACCTTGATCATCCAATGCACTATAAGAAAATGACTGACAGTGTTGGGAAACTATGGGGGGGAGATGGGACTAATGGTAGCTTACCTTCCTTTTAAATGTGTATTTTGGTTAATTTGGAACTTGCAGTTTTAACATTTGTAGTAACAGAGGTAGCAGTAGGTAGTAGTTTAGTTATTAATTCTATAATAATATAAGTTGCTAATGTTATTTATTATTTCAAATAGATATACTTTCAAAGGGCAAAGATTTCCTGTGAATTAGAAAGATCAAGTAATCATGAATTACCCTTAACCGTAGTTTTCTTTTCAGCAAATATCTAAAGATACCACAGTTCTTCCCTTGCTGTTTTAGTTTCTTGTTTGGAGGAGAAAATTTATGAGCTGCTTCAACATTTTTTTCTGATCATGAAAGTAATACATGACACAAATACAAATACAAAAAATATGTAGAAGAGAGTTTACATCACTCTATTCTTACCACCCAGAACCAATTACTGCTGAAAAGTGGATGCATTTGTTCTTTGCATTCTTCTGTGTGCGTGTTTATGAATGGATACCTTTATGCTCCGTTGTAGTTTGGAATAATTTTATGTGTACAATTTGTATCCTCGTTTATATATGTATTTGCTTAAAGTACTGTAAGCATTTTCCTGTGCCATTAATTATTAATTTCATTTTTAGATAAATAAATACTGTTCTGTCATATGGCTATATCAAAATTTATTTGACTGTTTCCCTATTCTTAGACATATAATTTTTTCCCACTTTTTACCATTTTAATTAAATAATAAAGAACTGTTTATAGTTTTAAAAGCAAGTTCCTTTGGAGTGTGTCTCTGCCTCCTTGATTTGCTTCCAATCATGTATACAAACTATATTTGGGATCTTGAAATGGTCTGCCAGAATATATAGAGACAGTCGTTGATGCAATTTGGGAGTTAGAGTATAATCAACTATATTTAGGTTTAGATGACAATGGCTTTCGTAAAGATTGGAGAATTAAAAAAAAAAATTATTTATTTATTATAAAGATGTGGGGTACAATTCAGGGTTAGGTGTACAAACAATGAGCATGCAGGTACTCTTGTGGGTGAGGTGTGCCCCTCCCTCCCCTGACAGTTTCCCTCAACTGCCAGTCCCACACCCCTCCCCTGACAGTTTTCCACTATGGCCAGTCGCTTTCTTATAGCATTATAATTGTTCAAGGTCACCTTATGAGTGATGGAGAATTCTTTATATATGTTGCTCCCTGGAATATGTGTGAAGAATTCTAGACATTTTATGACATTTGAGTTCCTAGTCAATAGTTAACTATTAGGAAAGCAAGTTAGCATATTACCTTTGATTAATTTGGAAGTAGCAGGACTAAATTTTTAAAATCTAGAGAGAAGGTTAGAGTTTGAGGAAAAGTTGGAAGTTTCCAGAATCTTCTTGTAAGGGCTTTGTTTGAGTAATTGACTTGCAGCAGAAGCTAAGAATATGTTCTAGGGAATGCTTAGTGTGAATTACTTCCTCTGAGGGTAGCAATGAAAAGAGGAAAATAACTAAGTGATTGAAGGACAGTTATAAAGTGATGATTTCTAACATTTAATGACCATATTGGCCATGTAGTGGACGCCGAACCTATGTACTTAACAGGCATTGACTCACTTAGTCCTTACAGTTATCTCCTTTGAACTAATAGTATTATGATTCATTTTTATTCTGTATATTATATTTATTCTTATATAGTATGAGTCCTGTTTTACAGATGAGGCATGTGGGGCACAGAGCGGCTAAGTGACTTGCCTAAAGTCACACAGTTATTGATGGAAATGACAGAATTTAAACTTTTGTAGTCTGGCTCTAAAACTCACACTTTTAACCACTTCACTGTAGTGGTTAATGTTTATATCTAGCTGCATAAATAAAGTATTGCTTTTAATAAAAACATAATAGATGGAAAAAAGATGTTATTTTCCTCTCAAAAGTACTGGGAAGTGTGCCGGCATCCATTGTGTGTGTGTGTGTGTGTGTGTGTGTGTGTGTGTGTGTGTGTATG